CTTAGGCCCGGGAAGGACACCGATGCTTCCGGCGCCTTTGCTGCTGATTGAAAACACAATTTTGAACTAGGATTATGCTAACAATTTTTAAAAATGCACAAGAGGTGATCTTTTATTGTAATCCACATTATGGATTTTATAATGCCCTGCAACTGTAAAGCATCTTTTTGTTTACACATTTTTGTATGGTATTTTAACATTATTGTTTAAGAATTTCTATAACCTTTAATTTGTACAGTGCTTTCTCAAGACCTCTGTCAGGAACAAATATAAAATAATTTCTTTTAAGAAATGATTTTAATATGTAATCATGTGGCAGAGCATAAATTTTGTGACTTGGGACAGTAGCTTTCCAGTTAAGATAATTGCATGAACTGTTAAAACTAATTATCATTATCAATCATTTTGTTTTTAACCCTTTGCAATATACCTTGTTTTCACAGGATTTCAAAATGTGTAAAAATAACTTCTTGAAAAATGTGCGATCAAGTTCTTTTTCATTATTTGTAAATGCGTAATGTTTTATATATTTCTCTTGTATCTTTTCTCTCTTTTTTCCCCCCTAAGTCTTCCATCTGTGCCACTCTCATCCCCCATCCAGATTACTGTTGATAACCTAATAGAATTTTCTGGGGCGTGTCTTAGTTAAGTGGTCAAGAGTGGATGTTTGCTTTTCAAAATATTGAAATAATCTGGCAGTATGTATTTCAAAGTAACATATAAAATTTTATTTTTTTGTCACCACTCCCATTGCTGGCAGTGGGATAGATGTTGGGAAAAACTTAGTTCCTATCAATAGGTACCTGCTAGTGATTCATCTTTCCTTTTCTACTCTCTTGAAATATAGTCTCTTTAATTTTTGCACAAAATATATTTTGCATCAAATAGTCTTACGGTTTTTAGTATCAGAAAAATCACATTATGTAATATGTTGTAGTTGTATTTCATATTAATTGTGTGTTGGTAAAAGTTTGTTACTGTTCCATATAAAAAATGTAATCTCTGATGGTTGCAGTTCCCCTGATATCTGTAATATAATTTTGTGTACTTATTTTGTCTCTTTTGTTTTGCAAGAACCGAAGAGAAATCTGTTACACATTTGAGTTTTTAATTTGCACTTCTGTATTTTAAATCTAACCATAATTAATCATTATACGTTCTCAATTTAATTAATTATAAAACCTAAATTAACATTAATTTTTCCCCCTGAGGCCCTTAATTCCTTTAAATAATTTTACTCTTAGTGTCTAACGAACCATGGTTGCTGAAGAAAACTTGTGTAAGCCTCCAGGAGGTTGTGCATTTGTGCTCTAATGTATTTTTTACATTATGGCTAATGTTTAGCATTCAGACATATAGCTTTGTAATAACTGCCATATTTCAAAGTTCCCGAGGTTTCCTTTTCCTCTTTCAGTCTCCTATTGAATTAAATAGCACACAGAATAGCACATATAAGGCAGTATCTATAATAATAAAAGCATAATATGCTAATTAGACCTTCCCTACCAGGGAAGACTGGGTCCTGGGTGCCTGCTGGTGGCTGGAGAGAAGCCCGGGTCCTGGTTGCCAAAGGGAAGCCGGTGCCGGCAGCGGGGGACGGAAGGCCTACTCTTGCACGAATTTTGTGCATAGGGCATTCTAGTAGTTAAATAAAACCAGGTGAAATGGTTTTCTTTTCATCTGCCCAAAGTTGATAACCCACATAAACTTTTTAAAAATAAAAGTAAAAGTGACACTACCAAAAAGAGGATGGACACCTCCCTGTGGAGTGAAGTTGGATGGCTGTTTCAGAAGTTGACAACTCAGTGCAGAAAGAACACTCACTAATGCACCCCCTGAGCCTGTGACTGTTAGGGACTGGAGTCTGTTCTAAAGATCTCAGAACGAGGAGTTGGCTTCAGGACCTAATGTCCCAACTTATAGTGAATTATTTTAATGTAAAATACTAATTGAGAGCATCCTTTTCAAAACCTCTGAAATAGTTAACTGATAATTTGCTGAAGTGCTCCCATTACTGGATAATCTGTTTCTCTGAAAACAAAGTGAATTATAAAGATTTCCCACACTGCACAGTCAATCTAATGAACAGGTAGATTTATTCAGTTTTAACTACTAGTTACAAACATGTGTACTGTTATCACTCTTCAAGTTTTCACCCTAAAACATGTAAGCTTATCTTACTAGTGAATTTGTTTGCTAACAAACTATTTAAAACCACAGTGGACTCTGGAATATCCAATTACCTAATTCCCAGGTAAATGGATGGATTAGCTGTAATAACTTTTATTAGTACTCCTTTTCTTCTCTCTCTTGAAATATCTATAGTAGGATGCTGGTAGATGGTCTAAAAATAAAAACTTTGGATTAAAAGGAAATCTCAACCCCTTCTATATTTTTGTTACTACTAAATAATGCTTTTGTAAATTTGAATGAAAAACCACTTGTATGTATTACTATTGGGTTGCAGTTATGCACGTGAGCTTAATTTAAAATATACTACTTAATAAAAATTTCATGAAAGATTAATTCCAATAATCAAAAAATAAATGCATTTCAACGCCTGAATTTTGTTTGATATGTGTCACCAGCGTGGAACCAAATAGTAAAAGGTATAATATGACTTCTTTAAAAATCAAAACAACTTAAAAATATTTCATATTTCAGACACTCACTCTGCCAATATTTAGCATACTCATTTTATTGATAGTAGATATTTAGTGCAATTTAGTAGCACTGTGGTTTAAGTAATTTTGCCTTGGAAACTAAATTTCTTTTTTATTTCTATCAGTATCAGTCTGTTTAAAGAAGTCATTTCTTTGTGCTTTGAGCATCTCTCACCAGCCCCTCTACCTTCCCCCAACCCCCCGCCAAAAAATACATTTACTTCGTCCTGTGGTACAAAATATAGTTCAAATTTATTTAACAAGTGCTTTCTGTTGGCCACCATGCTAAACACCTTGCATGCTGTATCTCTTGAAGTTCCTAACAGGAACATTCTCACCCCTACTTTACAGCTGGGGAGGGCAGGGATGTGCCTGGGGCTCTCTGTGGTAAGAGAGGGGGTGGGAGGTCTGTGCCAGGTCTCCCAGCAGCAAAGCTTATGACCTCTGTGTTGTTTTGTCTCAGGTCTTGTATTATCTGACGGTTACATTTGGGATGTAATACTCCCTGGATCCAAGTGCTAAGTCTAAGCCCAGGTTTTTCACTCTTTTCTGATTCCTTTTGTCAAATTTCCTGCACAAACTGTGCCTAATTTATTTAACCTGTTCTGGTCACCCCGAGAATATGGTATATTAAAGCTGGACTAGACACTGAAATCGGCTCCTCACCAAACGTGTGACTGCCAAAGTGATCTGAATGCCCACTACTTGCAAAAGAGGCATATTTGCTCCACTCTTTAGGGGTTTGAGGTGGATAATTGAAAGATGTGTGTGGTCCAGTTCAAGCTGTTTACCCTTAGTCCATGTTGAAAACTTAAGAACGTGGCCGTGTCCCTAAGCAGAAGGTCCGTTTCATTTGGCTTGCTTGTTATATGAGTAGACACACAAAAAGAAGTTCAGGCTCACTGCTGTCTTTGTCTTGCCTTTTCGGCTCTGACTTTCCACTTTTGTTTTGAATAATTATAAAACCCATCTTTCAAAAATAGCATTATCATGTAGATGCACTCCAAGAATAGTAGTGTTTATCACAGCCGTGTGAAAGGGACAAATGCACGGGTGTTTCCCCGCTAAAAATTGTTGCATATAATTTGGTGTGCCAGACCCTTCCTCTGCTTCTTCCAGTGGTGGCTAAATTCTCTCATGCTTTCCAGTTTTAAAATGTTGAAACAGAGTCGATCCCCTCGTGAGGGTGAGTTCTGACTCGGTACTATACTGAGCTCCAACACAAAGGGTCCTCCCTGCCTGCACGCTGTCCCTCTGCATATGCCTCACTCGGCTAATGTTTCATTAAATTAAAGGGAGGACCCACCACAAACAATACAGTGTGAATGGTGCCTCAGGATGCAACACAGACTGGGAGGGAAGCACAGCTGGAAGCCAGCACAGGGATTTTTTCAATGTCAGAGATTCTTACATTAAAATACCAGGAGGGTCTATTCTACCAGTGTATCTGCCGGATTTCTAACTGGGCAGCAGTGTCACTGCCGACAGTCAATGACCAGCACTGACTGCGCCTGTCGGCTCCTCTGCAGGTCCTGCTCGCTCACAGGAGAGAAACTAGGGTGGGCATGGGAACTCTCCTGGGAAGCAGTGCTCATGAGGGGTGGCAAAGGGCTGCCCTAAAATTGTACATCACATTCTAGAAATGGTATCCGATCCCAATTACAGCCGTTAGGGACTATATCAACATGGACAGAACATATACTCAGAATTCCCTTATGGCCCAAATCTACTACCTACATAGAAGACGACAGTTTAAATGAAGGTAAAAATGTGACGCTTGGGAGTTTCGTCATTTGAAAATAAGTCACACTTCCATTCTTAAAAATAAATAAGATTCAACACACTGAGCTCACTGCCCTTTGAACGTGGCTCAGGCTGGTGGCCAGCAGACCAGGGACTGACACAGCTTGGAGATAGGTCGCAGCTCTGGAGTCTGTGATAAGGAACAGCCTCCAATAAACTTCATTGTAAAGAATGAACAGCACTGGAGTGTTTGTGGTACAGCCCCGGGCTGACGTGGAGTCAGTGGAAAGGGGGAGTACTTACTTCCCCAAATAGAAGGGATGTACAGATGCTGGCGGTCCTTGAGAACTTGAGGAAAACTTGATCGTCTGTGTCTTAATTTTCAAAAAGCTGATAAACAGATGGCACGGAGAGAAAATCTTTATCTGACAGTGAACCTGGTAACAGCAAATTAGAATCTGCTGGCAAATCAAGAGGCTTTGCCACCATCATCAATGAGAATGAATGTTCCCCCATGAAATGGATTTAAATGAAGAGGACGTGGGGCTGGCAATCGATGCGGCCATGAATATCCTTAGAGTGTAACTGCTTTTCATGAAGAGAGACTAATTGGGCGTTTCTGTCCAGAAAGCAAAGCTCAGAATTGTTTTCATTGATAGATAAATATACACTGATATAAATAAATACCCGAATCTTAACTTTTTCCAGTGTGAAAGAATACTTATGCTCTAATAAGAATTGAGTTTGAAATGTTTGTTTTGCAGTAGTATTTGAGAAAGTTGAGGGCTTTGTATGTCAATAACACTAATAAATAAAAGTGTTCTATAGTTGCTTCATTTGTTACAGATAAAAGAATAATCAATACGCTGGTCAACTTTGTTAGTAAAAAAATCAAACTAAAGATGTTTCATATCTAATGTTAGAAAAAAATGCTTAATGCTGGAAAGCTCAGTGAAATAGCTACATTTTCATTATTTAAGACAGTATAAATTGATAACTCTTAGACAAAGAAAAACTGGAATTATGTCAGGCCATGAAAATGTATATACCCTTTGATTCATTGCTGGGAATTTATAAAAAAAATAAAAAACAAAAAGAATGGAAAAGCTCTATGCAGTAATGGCAACAAACTGGAAACAAGTGTCTAGTGAGGGGACTGGGTAAGTCAGAGGTTTTTAAGTTGACAATTTAAGTGGACTTTATAGCAGCATTTAATTATTTTTAAAAGCAAGTTACAACATTGTATTTACATAGTAATTAGAGAAATGATGCATGTGGAAAAGGTGAAGTGAATATATAATTGTTCACAGTGGTAAAATCAGATGTGAATTTTTCTCATTTGCCATATTTTCATGTATATCAAGAAATTATTTCTATTGTGAGGTGTAAATCTTTAAGTTTAAAATAATTTGACATGCATGTCTAAAAAAACTGCTGGTTAAGAGAATGTAGGGAAAGGTTCTTACTCTGTGATTCCTTTTATCCCTGTAAACACACTGCTTGGCTAACAGGAAATGTGCGTGTGCTGCTGCGTAAAGCTTTCTAGTCAACCAAAGGCCCCACGTGCCCGTGTGTCTCCACACCAGACAAAGCCCCAGTAAGAACAGTGGTTCTTTTACCCCTAGCTGAGCACGTACTGTACTTCCCCCACATACAAAACATTCATCCACAGAATAGTAAAAAATACATATATATGGTGCTAGTTCCTAGTATAAGACAATAATTCAATCTAAAAACTTACAGGAAGATAATTAAAATATTTCTACTTTTTAATTGTTATTCATAAAACTGATGACACTGGAATATTCTTATCTTCTTCATCAAATGAGTGGTTATGCCTAACATAAAGAACTAGTTATCACTTAAGGTAGCATGTTATTTTCACATCATTGCTCTCAGGTTTGGAAACTAATTAAATCTGCTGTCAGCATTCTGTTGCAGAGCTAGGGAGCCCGCTCCTTTAGAATGCTCTAGCAGCTTGATGGCCTTGTCGGAGCTTTCAATATTTCTAAGCAGAGTCTCCAAGCGTCTCTTAATTTTCTTCTGATCTTCAAGTGCACAGCCAATGACTATGGATTGAAACTTCTGATCCACTGGCCCAGGCGGCACCTCAGACGAACACGCACTGTACAGCGACATCAAGTGACTCTTGGCATTTCCCAAATCATTCAGAAACTTACTGACCACCTCATCGATAATCCTGGTGGCGTGCTTTAGGGATTCCTGCTTCTGGGGGTTTCTAATGGTTTCCACTGAAACTTCCACAGTGAGGGTTCGTCCCATCAGACGGTTTGCGGTCAGATTTAATTCTTCTCTTTCTCCTAAACATAAAAAGTTTGAAATACTTTTTATAAGTATTGAAAATACTTTTTCATAAACTCATCTATGTTGAGGGGTTCAGAACAGGCTTCTCCACAATGTGCTACATTGGCATAGGAATTATTTTGAGCTGAAGGCGATCGAGACCCGAGGGTTCATGAGAAACCCTTACTTCTCCCTTAAAGAATTTAAATTAGGGGGTTTGCTCATGGTAAGAATTCTTGCCAGAGATAATTTTTATGACCTATCCACAGGGCAGGGCAAACTTCTAATAACTGAGCATCTCTTTATTGTCCTGCAAATCTCCTCTTCCCTCTGCAGCCCCAAACTCCCTATCTCGTACCTTGGCTCACACTGTCGAGTATACCTCACTTTACCTTTCTACATCTGCCTCTCATGTATGGGGCGTGTCTCTGACTCTCTCATGTATGTGGGGTTCCCATACGAACGTATGTAATTAAATTTATTTTTCCATTGTTAATCTGTCTCATGTTGATTTAATTACTAGTCCAGCTGAGAGGATCTAAAAAGGTAAAGAAAAATTTCTTCCTACCCCAACAATGTCAAGAACACTAACACATTTATTTGTGGCTAAATCTATTTTCTGTGGTCACCTCTGGCTATGAATTTCCAAAGGGTTAGTTAAAGTTAAAACTATAGCATGTAAGATTAACTGATAAAGTGCATTGGTTTAGAGAGGGAGGTTGAAGAGTACCTTTCCCTGGCCCAGCCAGCGTGGCTCAGTGGTGAGCATCGTCCTATGAACCTGGAGGTCACAGTTTGATTCCGGGTCAGGGCATATGCTTGATCCCCAGTGTGGGGCATGCAGGAGGCAGCCAATCAATGATTCTCCCTCATCATTGATGTTCTTATCTCTCCCTCTCTCTGAAATCAAAAAAATAAAAAGAATCCCTTTCCCTGAAATCCCTTTCTGTATACATGGAATACCAGATGACTTCTCAAGCGGTCATGTTTGCCAAGTCTGGGCAGGTATGTGTTTGTAGCTGGGATGGAGATCAGGTCTTAACATCGCGTGAACAATGAGCATAACCAGGTTTTGTGCCGGGTAAGCTGCAGAGAGCAGATGTCCTGTATCTCTCCTAAGGATGTGCATGCAGGGGAGGAAAAATAATTGCCACTCTATCTTTCTGAGTTCTTGTCTGAGAATAAAAGATTAACAAGGACAAAAATACAAAAGTTTATTAACATGTATAAATCACGTATACATGGAAAACTGAGTAACTCTCTGAGATGGCTTAGCCACCACCTTAAATACCATTTTCAGCTGAAGACAAAAGATGTTGGGGAGGGAAGGAAGCCAGTTATGGGAGGTGACCAGGAAAAGCACGGTAAAGAGAGTAAGATTTAACTACAGTCAGCACCTTCTCCATTGATAAAAGTCCGTGTGACTCACAGTCCCCTCCCTGGCACAGAGGGAGACACCCTTACATGTGGAAAGTTGATTATAAATGTAAACTTCTCTTAGAAAAGGATAACGTCTCTGTTTCCAGAGCTTCTCTTGTGTCTGCAGTTTCTCAAAAATAATCAGCTCAAAATATCCTTGTGCCAAAGCGGCATATTTTGGGGTGGCATATTCTGCATGTTTATCAGAATACAATGCCCCAATTTGGGCTGAGAAAAAAAACCATGAAAGTGGTGAAAAGCTGGCTGAAATTAGGCCTCAACTTCACCCCCTCAAGACAAATTTAAGACGCCAGTGGTCTAAGTCTCAGCCAGCACCCAGAGGCAATGGGAAGAGGGACTCTGTCAACACCTCATTATTTATATGAAAAAGTCAGCAATCCCCTACGTCCTTTCTAATTCATTAATCTTTGGAGGGAAGTTCTGTGACTTCCTAATTCGTTGATCTTTGGCCAGGATGGCGAAGCGATCCGACCCCATTGTGGACTCTGGAGGTAGACTGCTCACGTGCTGCACAGCTACCTGGCCCCACAAGCTTGTTCTGTGAAGGAAGCACCAAATTAGGAAGGTCATCACCAGCAAACACAGATCACAGCTGACCTGTTCCTCCAGGGCAGTCATGCTTTTCATATGAAAATAATGGCACGTTTTTAATGGGGTTTTATTGGGCTTGTAGTTTCATTTTCTTGCATTTTCTCCCTTCCCATCTCACCTTTTCCCTATGCTTTTTTTTATACGGTTACTTTTCTTTTTTTAATGTATTTTGTTGATCTTTTACAGAGAGGAAGGGAGAGGGACAGTTAGAAACATCGGTGAGAGAGAAACATCGATCAGCTGCCTCCTGCACACCCCTACTGGGGATGTGCCCACAACCAAGGTACATTCCATGACCGGAATCGAACCTGGGACCCCTCAGTCCGCAGGCCGACGCTCTACCCACTGAGCCAAAGCGGTTAGGACTTCCCTCTGCTTTTTAAAAAGGTATGTTTTTATTGATTTCAGAAATGGAAGGGAGAGGGAGAGAGAGACAGAAACATCAATGATCAGAGAGAATCACTGATTGGCTGCCTCCTGCACACGCCACACTGGGGATCGAGCCCGAAACCCTATGCCCAGACCAGGAATTGAACCGTGACCTCCTGGTTCATAGGTCAACACTCCATCACTGAGCCACTCCAGCCAGGCTCCCTCTGCTTTTAATTCTACATTCCAGTAACTCCGATAGAACTTAAGTTCTATACTTGGCCTTATTGCTTGGAGCCAGCTTTTCTGCTGAAGGAGCTTGGAGGCCTTTTTCCATCACGTCCAGCCTCGGCCTGGGCTGGGGAGTGCAGTGGGGGAATGATCTCCTGTAATAAACTGACAGCTGCAGCTGCTGCCTGCGGCTCACACTGAATGCTGAAATCGGGGGTGCTCATACCACAAGTCAAGCAAAACTGACCCAAGCTTAGCACAGACCCCACAGAGGGTGTAAAAGACAAGCCCCCATCCATGGAACCAGCTCTCACCATCGCTGATCTGCCTCATGTCCTGGCTGTTCTGGATACTGTGGATCATTTCCAGGAGGATTTCTCTCTCTTGCTCAATGGCAGTTGCTGCTTCTCTTAAAGCTTCCACCCTATAAATAGAGAAAAACAGCAGTTACTACATGGACGATCAGTGGTCCTCACCCTTCCATCATTCAATTCAACTTTAAAGATCATTAGGAAGACTTTTCAAGATGTCTTTATTCCTTTTATTTTTTATCCTTTCATTTAAGTCGATCTTTTTAAATCCACTTACCCCAGTCCCATTTCCCTCCCTGCTCTATTTAGTGGTTATCTGTTTGCTCTTGCAAAAATATGTATTTGTGTATTCATGTTCTCATGTTCAGCATTATTTTATTAAGAACCATCTAATCAGTAGCTTCTAAATGTTGCCCAATTCTCCACATGTATATCCACCTGATTTTACCTCCCAGTAGAGACACTCCCCTTGTCCCTCAGCTATTCACCACCACAAACAACACTCCAATGAATACATGCCCTTTAAGAACCTGTGTGAGGGCAGAACTGCTGAGACAAAGGGTGTGTGTACCTTCATTTGACTCAGTACGAGGACTGCTCTCTAGAATGGCTATACCAGGTCATACTCCGGCAGCAAAACACAGGAGTCCCTATACCCCCACAACCCTACCAATACTCAGCATTTTCCAATTTTCTAACTCTTTATTGACAGTAAGTGTAGTGATATCTCAATGCTTAATTTACATTTACCGTATTTGCCGGCGTATAAGACGATTTTTTGGCCCTGAAAAATATGCCTCCAAGTGGGGGGTCGTCTTATACGCCAGGTACACTTCAGATAGACTGCCCATAGTGCTTGCCCCGTGCCATAGTGGCCTCCCGATGCCCGCCCACTTCATTCCACATACCATTCAGGCATCAGCAGCGCTGCTGGGTGTATGCTCGGCTGTTATGCGATTTT